TTTTTAAAGATATAAGCTCATTCCGATGTTATACTCATCGAGATCTTTCATTTGAGTACCCACATGCATTTTTCATATATTTTATATATTTATACATGCTATATATATGTATATATGAAAAATATATGAAAATGCATATGGGTACTCAAATGAAAGCTCTTGACAAGTGTAACATCAGGATGAGCTTATATCTTAAAAAATGACAACAATTAAGAAATGGCCTTGTATCTCGTGAACTATAGACATTTTTAAAGATATAAGATCATCTCGGTGTCCTACTCATCAAGAGCTTTCATTTGAGTACCTACATCAATTTTTCATATATTTTATATATTTATACATGCTATATATATGTATATATGAAAAATATATAAAAAATGCATATGGGTACTCAAATGAAAGCTCTTGATGAGTGTAACATCAAGATGAGCTTATATCTTTAAAAACGTCAATATTTAAGAAATTACAGCGCAATTTAACCAAAGCATTATTCAATAAACCAAAATTCTATTTATTATAGTTCACTACGGCAGTCACGTAGTGACTGCCTGGCTGTTAGTTGATATTTATCAAGATATAGACCATTGAAATTTTTATATTAGAAAATTACTTATTTTAAAAAATTGACTAGAATTTATAAAAAATCTCCTTTAGAGACTAATTAAAAATTAATATTTCTCAAGATATAAATACAATAATAAAATTGTTAATTTTTTTAATTAAATTTTTTTTTAGATTTACCAAATTCAAAGAATCAACACCATCTGTGATAAAAGCCCTATACGGAAACGTCGACGGAGTAGAAGAGCGACATCGCCACAGGTACGAAGTAAACCCAGTGTTTGTGAGCAACCTCGAAGCCGCGGGGCTTAAATTTGTCGGCCAGGACACAACCGGCCAGAGGATGGAGATAATTGAATTAGAAGGTCACGATTATTATGTAGCTACTCAGTATCATCCTGAGTACTTGTCCAGGCCAATGAAACCCTCAGCGCCATTCTTAGGTCTGATTTTAGCTAGTGTTGGGAAACTTAAGAGCTACTTAGCAAAAGGGTGCCGACTTACCCCCAGGAACTTGAGCGACAATGACAGTGATGAGGAGGACAAGAAAATTGTCAAGGCCAAGGAGACTAAGTCAGATTAAACCTGAAAAAAAAAAGAAAAAAAATTTGTAAAATAAGTTTTGTTTTTTCACGAACAAAAATTCTTGATATTTATTTTTTAATATCCAATTTATAGATTATTTTTAATTGTACAATATTAATTTTACATATTTAATGTAAAATTGTATCCTAGGAATTTTTTTTATCTAAGAAATCATTGTTTTTTTTATGAATAATTAGTATTTTTTTTTTTTAATTTTTACACTGAAAAAATATAAAATTTATCAATTTACATTTATATAAATAAAAAATTAATTTCAATTTATATTTAAAAAAAGATTTTTTTTTTTAAATAAATTTATTAATCAAATTGTAAATTATTTTTTTTCAGACTTAATAAATGAAATTTCTTAAAATACTATTTTTTAAATAAATTTAACTTACCTTAAATAAAAAAATTTGAATTTGAATTTAAGCTGTTCCCGCCAGCACCAATCATAACAGTTCTTTTTACCGCCAAGTGGTAACTTACCACCGTTTTCAACGGAGCGACATTCTAAAAAAAATTATCAAACTTTCTGGGGTATAAATGGTATAAATCAGCTGACTAGCCTAAAAATAAGAGTAACAAAGTATATATATATATATATATATATATATTAGAAGGTTTGTTTACTAACAAATGATACCTGTCAAAGTTTATAGTAAAATTATATGTATTATTTGTAATTATTAAAGATGACTATTCATAATTTGTATATTTTTTCTAAAAATGGAGTTTTGTTGTATTATACTGAATGGAATAGATTGAATAAATCTGGCATTACCAAAGAAGAGGTAAATTAAGATTTTAATTCTTTTTTTTAATAAAAATTATCTATATTATTAAGAGAATAAGAAAAATTTGTCTCCAGGATACATAATTAAGAAATGACCTAGTATCTTGTGAACTATTGACATTTTTAAAGATATAAGCTCATCCTGATGATATACTCATCAAGACCTTTCATTTGAGTACCTACATCAATTTTTCATATATTTTATATATTTGTATATATGAAAAATATATAAAAAATGCATGTGAGTACTCAAATGAAAGCTCTTGATGAATATAACATCAGAATGAGCTTATATCTTAAAAATATATATTATATACATTACATAATCAATAAATTACCTTTTATCTTATGAAATATTGACATTTTTAAAGATATAAGCTCATCCTTACTTTACACTCATCGAGACCTTTCATTTGAATACCCACATCAATTTTTCATATATTTATATATATATATCATATATATGTATATATGAAAAATATATCAAAAATGCATGTGGGTACTCAAATGAAAGCTCTTGACGAGTGTAACATCAGGATGAGCTTATATCTTTAAAAATGTCAATAATTAAGAAATGACCTTGTATCTTGTTAACTCTTGACATTTTTAAAGATATAAGCTCATCTTGACATTACTCTCATTGAGACCTTTCATTTGAATACCCACATCAATTTTTCATATATTTTATATATTTATATATATCATATATATGTATATATGAAAAATATATCAAAAATGCATGTGGGTACTCAAATGAAAGGTCTTGACGAGTATAACACCAAGATGAGCTTATATCTTAAAAAACATCAATATTTAACAAAAGCCATTATATATATATATTCATTCCAGGAAGCTAAACTGATGTACGGAATGTTGTTCTCAATAAAATCCTTCGTGAACAAAATCTCACCTCTGGACCCCAAAGAAGGGTTCCTCTACTACAAAACCAGCAAATACTCACTTCACTACCTCGAAACTCCTTCTGGTCTTAAATTTGTCCTGAACACCGACACCGCTTCGCAGAACGTTCGAGAGCTTCTTCAGCAGCTCTACCGGCAAGTCTACGTCGAGTACGTCGTAAAGAACCCCTTCTGCAAATTAAACGAGCCAATACAGAGTGAATTGTTCAAAAGCAAAGTCGACGAGCTGATGAAAAAATCTCCTATATTTTTAAATCGTTCATTGTAAAATTTCATTATTAAATATTTATTATTATTAATAATTTTATTATAATTATTATTATAATCATAATAGTACATTAATTTTATTTTATAAATTGTTATTTTGGCATCAAATTATTTTTAATAATTGATATCGCAGCGGACTGACCTTAATTTTTATTTTTTTTTTTAAGCCATTTTTTACAATTAAATTGATTATATTTTTTTTTAAGTCCGATCGCTGAAAAATCACTGAGTCAAAAAATTACATTTTTTATTTTTTAATTATTAAAGAGCGTAAAAAATTTTTTTTTGCTCATAAAAAAATTTAATTAAATTTTAACTCCAATAAAGAGATTGAAAAAATTACTCAAAAAATTATATTACAGCGATCAAAATTTTTTAATTAATTATTATTATTAATTAATAATAATAATTTATGATAATATATTGACTATACCTACGGCTCATATATTTATTAATTATATAATATATACACTTCGTGCAATTTAGAAAAAAAAAAAAAAAGAAGAAAAATTTAGAATTTTGTTCTGCTAGTCCGGTCTTGAAATTTTTTTTAAAATTTTTCAGTCTTTAATTTATACTTTCAAAGAAAACTTTTTTAAAAAATAATTTTTTAATTACAAACTTCCCCCACCCGTTGAATTATTTTATTCAATTAATTAAATTAATTAGTCAAGAGCGATGACAGTGACCGGAGCAGAGTTTGTAACAGAGTTCCCGGTTGGAATCGATGTTGGCGATGTTGGCGTAGTTGAACTAGAGGCCGGGCTTGGCTCCTCAATAACTGGCAAACGTTTATTAGATTCACTTACGGCTGAGGAGGTCTGGTTGTGGAAGAAAATGCTCCGCAGTGCTGCTACGTTTGTTTTGTCACGGACTTCTAATTCTAATGATTCTGGCTCGTCGTTTGATGTTTGGCTTCTGAAAAAATATATTTGTAATTAACTTAAAAAAAAAAAATTTTTTTTAAAAGGTAATTAAGAAATTACCTTATATTTTGGGAACTATTGACATTTTTAAAGATATAAGCTCATCCTGATGTTATACTCATCGAGACCTTTCATTTGAGTACCCACATCAATTTTTCATATATTTTATATATTTATATATTTATATATATATATTAGATATATGTATATATGAGAAATATATCAAAAATACATGTGAGTACTCAAATGATAAGTGTAACGTCAAGATGAGCTTATATCTTTAAAATATGAATTATATATATTAGATATTTAAGAAATGACCTTGTATCTTGTGAAATATTGAGATTTTTAAAGATATAAGCTCATCCTGATTTTAGGCTCATCGAGACCTTTCATTTGAGTACCTACATCAATTTTACATATATTTCATATATTTATATATATTATATATATATAAATATATGAAAAATATATAAAAAATGCATGTGGGTACTCAAATGAAAGCTCTTGACGAGTGTAACATCGGGATGAGCTTATATCTTTAAAATATGAATTTTATATATTACATATTTAAGAAATGAGCCTGTATCTTGTGATCTATTGACATTTTTAAAGATATAAGCTCATCCTGATGTTATACTCATCGAGACCTTGTATTTGAGTACCCACATCAATTTTTCATATATTTGATATATTTATATATATCATATATATGTATATATGACAAATATATCAAAAAAGCATGTGGGTACTCAAATGAAAGCTCTTGACGAGTGTAACATCATGATGAGCTTATATCTTAAAAAACATCAATATTTAAGAAAGTACATTGTAATTTAATAAAACAAAATTATTACCTAGCCAATTTAAAATAATCACCATCATCAGCGTCCTTTTTCTTCTTACTCCTCAAACTAAGAGCCCTGTCATCCCTTTTATTATCATCAGCTTCAATAAAACTGACATGATCATCAAACCTGACCCTCTCTGACCCTCCATCGTCATTTCCAGCATTATTACCTCCAGGAGTCCAAGTACTCGAATCACTGTGCTGGCGGTCCAAGGTGGGCCTCCTGCGGGCCCTTTTGGCCAAACCAGCAGCAATTTCCTCCAGCGAGCTGAGAGAAGCGGCCTGACCAGCAGACTCAACATTAACCGAATTCGTTGTTTCATTAATGGCGTCGGATTTAGAAAAAGTATCCATTTTAAAATTAAGAACAGACCCGGCGAGAGCTCGGGTAGAAGCAGCGCCATCATCGGCGGCAATAGAAGCATTGACGGATTTTTCTGACAAGCTTGTAGCAGCTGAAGCGGTCTCGCTGCACAGGCTGAATCTCTGGGTCGAGGTCACGTCAGCCTGGACCTCTAATCTTTGACCTCCAGGAAGGACACTCGAGGCGATGCTACCAGCCAAGCTTGTTCCCGCCAAAGCGACGTTACTGGCGCTCTCGCGGTCGTTCTCACGGCCCAGTTTCTCCAGCTGGCTTCCGCTTCCGAGAGACAACGACGCTTCACCGATTGAAGGGTTTCCTCCGCGGTGGCTCGCTACGTCGATTGACGCGGCATCTGTGGCAGAATTTAAAAGTTTTAATTTTACAAACAAAAGTTTCAATTAATAAAAGGAATGAAGGAGTTACCTCCTATGTTCCGCGCTCCCAGCGCCCCCATCAGCTCGTTCTCGTCGTCAAAGTCGAACCGCACTCCAGAGCCATCTGTTGACACTCCACAGCCACCACTTCGGCAAAGCGAGACTGGTACCACACCGTAGACATAAAATAACAATATTGGAACTCCTATTCCTACTGCTAAGCCTGCTAGAACTGGTGAGACAAGAATCTGAAAAAAAAGTGGGGGTTAAAATTAAAAAAAAAAATTTTTTGAACTTTCTAGAAGGTCTATAAAATTAAATAAACTTTCTAAAAGTTCTAGATTATTTAAAAAAAAATTTTGAACTTTCTAAGAGGTCTAAAAATTAAATAAACTTTCTAGAAGTTCTAGATTATTAAAAAAATTTTTGTTTTAACTTTCTAGATCTATAAAATTAAATAATCTTTCTAGAAGGTCTAGAAAATTAAATACACTTTCTAAAAGTTCTAGATTGTTAAAAAAAATTTTTTTTTAACTTTCTAGGTTTAGAAAATTAGATAAACTTTCTACAAGGTCTTGAAAATTAAATAAACTTTCTAGAAGTTCTAGATTATTAAAAAAAAATTTTTTTGAACTTTCTAGGAGGCCTAGAAAATTAAGCAAAGTCTCTAGAAGTTCTAGATTATTAAAAAAAAATTTTTTTTGAACTATCTAGATCTACGAAATTAAATAATCTTTCTCGAAGGTCTAGAAAATTCAATAAACTTTCTAGAAGTTCTAGATTATTTAATAAAATAAAAAAAAATAATTTGTTGTTTTTTTTTTTGCCTTCTTAAAAATCACTAAAGTGATTTTTTGAATAATTTATAAATAAAAAAAATTTCCAAGAACCCACAACGCCACCTGTTGGCAATATAATCAACTATAAAATTGTGGAGGGGGAATATGACGTCATAAGAGGTTGGAAAACGAGCAAAGAGTGTGTTTTAAAATACGAAGCGCAGAAACGGCTTTTTTTTTACTTATTTATCCATAATTAACTCAATATTAATACAAAAATAATTTTAAGTAATCAATAAAGAATTGAGTATAATTTTTTTTTTCTAAAATAATTATTTTTTTTTTTTTCTATAAAAATCAATACCTTTATAATTAACCAACAAATTAAAACTCATAAGTGGTCTTAGATTCTCGACAGTGTCATCCTCTAATAACAATAATGCCATTACTAATAATAACAATAATAATAATACACGACACAAGTAAGGGAGCGGAAAGATATTGATTGAAGGGAGGAGTGCGCGCACACACCTACCAGGTTCCCACCCGATTCCGTCGGCACCTAAACTCACTTGCTCTCGTGGTACCGTCGACTCTAGAAGTGCTTCGCAATTTTATTGTTTAAATAATTGTCATGTAAAATAAATAATAATAATTATTATTATTATTATTATTATTATTATTAATATTTCTGAACAAAAGGAAGAGGAAGCGGATGAAGAGGTAGAAAAGAAAAAAAAAAAAAAAAAACCGGAAGTGAATGTAAGCGAGCAGAGAGAGTGTAAGTGAAGAAAAAAAAATTACGATCGGGATATTTATTAAATTGAGGATCGAGGGGGAGTTTTAGTAAAAGAGAGGGGGAAGATAGAAGAGAGAGAAGACTAGGAAATAATTTAAACGTGGACGCGCCCAGTCTGCTATGATCTGTCGGTGCGTTAAAATAATCCTCAGCTGTAGCGGTTAATTTTATTTATTTATTTAATAAATTTTTTATTGAAACTTTGGTGGTGGGGGAAAGGACGAAAATGTCCGACAGTGAGGACACTGACGGCTCGGGAGTGGTGGAATGGCCGGTGAGCAAAGAATGGCTGGAGAACATCCTTAAGATTTATCATAGCAGTGGAACTGAGGGAGGAGAGGGGGAAAGCCCCAAGGTCACCGTCGAGGACTTCGAAGTCAGCCCCGGGTGCGTCTCCGGCGAGAGCGTACTCAGTGACATCCTCGCTGTGGCTGTAGACTACACCCTAGACGGGGAGGAGGTCAAGCTTAAGGTTATTGTTAAATTGCTGCCCCAGGATCCGTTCAGTAGGTTTTTTGTCACTGAGGCTCAGTTCGATCTCAGGGAGATTAAGTTTTATACGCAGGTGAATTTTTATTATTATTGTTTGGGAGAGGGGGAACGTTTTTTGGGTTCTAGAAAGTTGAGAAATTTTTTTCTGTTATTTTTGGAGTAAATTTCAGTGGCAATCGGTTCTAGATGACCTTGTAAGTCTGTAATATCAATTTTGTAACAATTGGACGATTCTAACGGTCATAATCGGGAAAAATAATGTTCTAGACAGTTGCTTAGGACAAAGGTGACCTGAAAAACTTTCTAGAATTACTTTTTTAAGCAAAATTTTGTATTTTATTAATTCTAGGTGACCTTATAACTCTATAAAACAAATATTAGCCTAATTAAACAGTCCTATTGCCCGTAAACTTGAAAAATAATGTTCTAGAAAGTTGCTTAGGACAAATTTGACCTAAAAGTTTTCTAGAATTACTTTTTACATTAGACTTTTTATTTTGAGTGCTTTTAAACGACTTTCTAGCTCTTAATTAGCAATTTTATGCCAATCAAACAATCCAATCGCAAAAAATAACCTTTTAGAAAGTTTCTTAGAACAAATTTGACCTAAATAATTTTCTAGAATAACTTTTGGATCAAAATTTAACCTTTTAATCCATCCAGATGACCTTCTAGCTCAAAATAAGTAATTCCATGCCAATTAAACAATCCAATCTCTTACAATACTGAAAAATAATCTTCTAGAAAGTTTCTTAGTACAAATTTGACCTAAAAAATGTTCTAGAAGTACTTTTCACATAAAAATTTAAACTTAAAGTCCTTTTAAATGACTTTCTAGCTCTAAATTAGCAATATCATCCCAATTGATCAACTTTAACCCTCAAAATTTTATAAAAAAATCTTCTAGAGAGTTCCTTGAAACAAATTTGACCTAAAAAATCTTCTAAAATTACTTTTTACCTCAAAATTTCAACTTTAATTGCTTCTAGACAACCTTCTAACCTTAATTTAGCAATTTCATGCTAATTAAACAATCCTATTGTTTACAATTTCAAAAAACAATCTCCTAGAAAGTTCCTTAAAACAAAGTTGACCCTAAAAATGATCTGGAATTACTTGTTACATCAAAATTTCTAACTTAAGTGCTTCTAGATGACCTTCTAGCTCTAAATTAGCAATATCATCCCAATTGAACAACCTAAACCCTAAAAATTCCACAAAACAATCTCCTAGAAAGTTCCTTGGAACAAATTTGACCTAAAAAATGTTCTAGAATTACTTTTCACATTAAAATTTCACCTTCTAACCTAAACTTATCAATTTCATACCAATTAAACAATCCTACTGCTCACAATCTTAAAAAACAATCTTCTAGAATGTTCCTATGACCCTAGAAAATGTTCTATAACAACTCAATAGACCAAAACTAGTTCCTAAACACCTCTAAGCCTTGAAACTAAACAATCCACAAACTTTCAGGTAGTTCCAGACTTGAAAGCGTTCCAGGAGAAGCAATTGTCAGCCTCCAGCCTTCCAGGCTTCGAGCTGCCAATCCCGTCGTGCATACACGCCCACTACAAGCCAGCAGGAGGAACAGAGGAGACTCCAGAACCTCCCGAATCATTCCTGATCCTGGAGAACCTGCGACCTCGCGGCTACGAAGGCGCAGAATTCTCCCGAGGGTTGACTTTACGACAAGCAGAGGCCGCTCTGAGCGCGATCGCGCGGCTCCACGCCCTCTCGCTCTGCCTGAAGGTCAAGGAGGGGCGGCCGCTCAGCGAGAAGTACCAGTTCCTGTTCCAGACCGCCAGAGCCACGGATTCCTACCAACAATTGGTGGAACGCGGTCTGCCTCAACTGGCGCGGTTCCTGGAACGCCGGCCCGGTTCCGAGGCCGTTCTGGAGGCGCTGCTGGCCTTGAGACCCAAGACCAAGGAGATAATAGCCTCCCTCCTCGCTCCGGAGGATCCTCTGGCCCTCATCACGCACACGGACTTCTGGTGCAACAATTTGCTGTTTAAGGACCTCGACGACGAGTGCAAGTGCGCCATCTTGGACTGGCAAATGGTCACCTACAGCCGCCCCACCAACGACATCGCCCTCTTATTAGTCAGTTCCGTTCCCACCGAGCTTAGGCGTCTCCACACCGCGGCGCTGCTTGACAAGTATTGGCAGACGCTTCTAGAAAGTTCTCTGCCTCTTGGCGTCGATGTTCCGGAGGATCTCAAGTACTCCCGGGAGGATCTTGATAAAGACTACAGAAGGTCACAGCTTCTAGCACTGCTTCTTTGTATTGGATCGGTAGATGTCGCTCTAGGCGACCCGCTTACCGAACAGAGACTTATCGACCTTCTAGAAGACTTACATACCGACGGAGTGCTCAGTCTTGAGACTGCCAATGTCGCGTAACTTTTTTGAGGTTATTATAGACGTTTTGTAACTATTCGTTGTAATTAATGGGAATTTTTTGGCGGGAATTTTTTAAATGTTATAAATATATTCATTTTGAGTGTTTATCTCGTCAGTGCTGGGATATTTTTTTTTTCAGGTTATTTTTATATTTATTCATCCTTTTTTCTTTTATTTTTTCGTGTAAAAAATTAGAAATAATTTTTTTTTAATTAAAATTAATTATATTTTGTTGATATTGAATTAAAAAAAAATAATAGACCTTCAAAATTAAATAAAAATGATTAATAAAATTTTTTTTAATTAAAATTAATTATTTTTTATTAATGTTTAATTCAAAAAAAATAATTAAATTATAAGTTAAAAATTAATTTACTAAAAAAAAATTATTAATATAATTTTATGTCCCAGCACTGAGAAAAAATAAAATAATAAATTTTCTATACCATTTTTTTAAACTAATTTCTAATTAAAATGATAAAATCATTTTATAAAAATTTTAACGCTTAAAAAGAATTGTTTTTTTTTTTTTTAATATTTAAAATAAAAATAAGTGTAATTGCTCTGAAAAATAAAATAAAAATCTATAGAAAATTCATTTGAATTTTCCTGAAACCTCACAAGGAAAAATAAAATTTTCCCAGCACTGAAATAAATTTATAAATCAAAATATTGTGTCAAAAAAAAAATCTATAGAAATATTAATTAATTAAAATTCTCAATTTAAAAGAAAAGAATGTTAGTGAGCCGATTAATGAATTAATTAATTAAAAAATTAACGAGGCTCTCTAGAGCTTCCAGCGTGCTATGAGCTATGAGCTTCCGATGATTAATTAATTAATAAAATTAATGTGAATGATTGTAATGCACATGCGTAAATGCTCCGCTATTTTTTTTTTCAATATTAATTAATCAATAAATAAATAAATAAATAAATAAAAAATTTGTGTTTAACAATGATTAATAATGTCCGATTGAATTTATATTAATTGTTGGGGTATTTTTAATGTAATTAATTAATTAAATAAATAAAAAATTGAAAAACTTACGGATGCAGTGACACCGCCAATTATAAATGCATTTCTCTTGTGTTTATTTACGTTGCAGTAACGGGCGTAAAGCTTGCGGCCGACCCATACTGGAATACCTGGTTTTTAAAATTAGATATTGATTATTATAATTATAATTATTAGAAAATTATTAGTAATTACCGATTATCATAGCAGGTACAGCAATACCAGCAACTAGTCCAATTCCAACGGGAGCTCCTACTAGGGTTCCTAATTGCCAAAGAATTTTTTTCTTTCTTGACCAGGGTTTTTTACCCCAAAATGTACATCCTGATGGACTAGAAAATAATTATTTATTATGATAATAATAATAACTAGCAACCTTGCAGTCACTACGTGACTGCAGTATTAAACTATAAATAATGATTCTTGTTAAATTGCACTGTATTTTCTTAACTATTGACATTTTTTAAGATATAAGCTCATCCTGATGTTATACTCATCAAAAGCTTTCATTTGAGTACCCACATCAATTTTTCATATATTTTATATATTTATATGTATATCATATATATGTATTTATGAAAAATATATCAAAAATGCATGTGGGTACTTAAATGAAAGGTCTCGATGAGTGTAATCTCAGGATGAGCTTATATCTTTAAAAATGTCAATATTTCACATGATATAAGGTCATTTCTTAATTATGTAATATATAGTTTAAAGATATAAGCTCATCCTGATGTTATACTCATCAAGAGCTTTCATTTGAGTACCCACATCAATTTTTGATATATTTTTCATATATAAGTATATATAATATATATAAATATATGAAAAATTGATGTGAGTACTCAAATGAAAGCTCTTGATAAGTGTAATGTCAGGGTGAGCTTATGTCTTTAAAAATGTCTATAGTTCACAAGATACAAGGTGATTTCTTAATTATATATCCTATAAAGACAAAATTATTCTTTTTTTCTTAATAATATAGATATTAATAATAAAATCAAACCTTAAATAATGTAAATCGCTTATTTCCTTCATACACAGCCAGCAAAATTCAGCACCACAAACCGCACAAATCATATGATTACAGCTTCCGTCTTCCATTTTGACAATCAAAACTTGGCATCTTGGACAAGGTTTTATATCATCACCTATAATAAATAAATAAATAAATCAACCAACAATTACCTAAAAAATTCTCCTCTTTTCTAACAACCTTAATCAATTAATATACTTACGATGCTGAGAATCGCTCTGACTGAAGCTCATAGAAGAGCTGCGATCATAATGCTGAGCTCTTTGAGCACGAGCAGCGTCACAAGTTTGATTAGGGTGCCATCGTGCCTTGCAGTGGTAGCAGAAGTAGTAATCACACCCTGGACGCTTGCAGTGCAACTTGGGACAGCTGGCACATCCTGAAGCGATCACTGCAAAACTGCAGTCTGGCGCGGGGCACCATCTAGCGTCTGGTTCCACCGCAAGAACACGGCGAACCATAAAGTCTTCGTACTTTTCCAGCTGGACTCGATCATTAAGAATCATTCTTATGTCTGTAATTATTATTATTATTTTGATTGATGTATTTTTTAACTATTGAAATTTTTAAAGATATAAGCTCATCCCGATGTTACACTTGTCAAGAGCTTTCATTTGAGTACCCACATCAATTTTTTATATATTTTTCATATATAAATATATATGATATATATTTTTAAAATATAAGCTCATCCCGATGTTACACTCATCAAGACCTTTCATTTGAGTACCCACATCAATTTTTTATATATTTTTCATATATACATATATATAATATATATAAATATATAAAATATATGAAAAAATTGATGTGGGTACTCAAATGAAAGGTCTCGATGAGTATAATGTAAGGATGAGCTTATATCTTTAAAAATGTCAATAGTTCACAAGATATAAGGTCATTTCTTAATTATGCATCCTAAAGACAAAATTTTTTTCATTCTTTTAATAATATTGATTAATATCATTATTTTATTATTGTTGAGTTACCATTAGGATGCAAAGGTTCAGCGCACTCTGGGCAAGCGATGTTAACTCTGGACTCTGAAATTTCAACTTTTAAATACTGCTGGAAGCAGTCGTAGCAACTGCGGTGAAGACACGTTTGAATATATGGGAATGCTTCGTTTGGTAATTCTGCTAGGCACAGCGGACATTCAAATAATCTATTTTCAGAGCTCTGAAAAAATATTGTAATTAAAATAAAATTTCAAATAAATATAAAAATTAATTAAACTAATAGTTTATAATTTTTTCAATAAATAAATTATTTAAATAATTTTTTCAACACTCCAAGAGTCCTAAAAAATTTTTAATAAACTTTATAAAAATTCTATCATTTTTTTACATTAAAAAAAAATAAATTTCAATTTTTTTCTCCAAAAAAAAAAGACTAAAATTTTAAATCAATTTTTTTTTAAACTTTCCAACCTTTCCAGCAGTTGAACTCAGTACAGAACCACGACTAGGTGCCCGATATAAATCACATGGTGAAAAATTATTGGAGTTAGTAGTAGACTTGCTGTCACCACCTTCAACATCACTCGTTCTATCTTTACCTAAAATTACCAAAAAATAAATAAATAAATAAATAAATAAAATAAATTAATTAAATATTTAAATATAAACACATACCTTTGCTCCGATTATTAGAACTGGCAGTCCTGACAATCCTCCTTCCAATCAGCGGACTGGAGTACAAAAGAGTCCTGAGAGAAAATCTTGGAAAGTACCTCCGCTGTCTAGTTCCACTGCTGTTGTTACAGTTTCCCATTTCCACGTCTTTAATCATTTTTTCTGATATTTATAAATTTATAAATAATCAATTACCAATTGTAATTTATTCCGCTTTCACTCTGACCTTAAATAATTTATAAGTGTCATTAAATATTTATTTTTTTTGTTAAAAAAATTATTTTTTGCACGTGACAGTTTTATTAATTACGTGCATTATTTTTTTAATAATAATTTATAAAAATTACGCAACTATAAAAAAATATTTACCAATTTTTAATCTTGAAATCACTGCTGACAAAACTAATAATAATAGTTACAAAAATATGTACATATTTACAAAAAAAAAAAAAAAACTCACTCAAAATGACACTTTAATAATAATAATTATAATAATAATAATTTATTTTGACAAAAAATAATAATAATAATAATAGTTTTTTTTTTTATAACAAATAGGTGATAATAAATAATGCGTATAAATTTAAATATTAATATATGTGTGTATAAAGTAACAAAAGTTAAATATTTTATTAAAAATACTTTTGATAAAATAAATGACGGCTAAAGCTAAAGAAACTGCTCTTACTCATCCTTTACGTTTTTTATTTTATCGCTTTTTATTTCCACGCATTATAGAAAGTGCGAATTTTTGGAATTTAACTATAGTCTTTATTTTTTGATACAGTTTGTGCTGAGTTTTATTTTTTTATTTCTTTGTTGAGAAACTTTTAGTAGCGCTGCCTGGTGGAGAGAATTAGTGACAGTGAAAAATTTAAAAAATCAGCTGATAACTGTCATTTTTTTTTTAATGTTAAAAAAATTAGTTTTAATTGTTAAATTAAATGTGGAATTAATTTTTTGTGTAATGTCTGAAGGAATAATTGGTGAGTTATTTTTTAAATCAGCTGATTGCTGTCATTTTTTTATAATAATAAAGTATGATACTATAGTTAGACATTTTTAATTTTTTAATTTTTTTTTAATAATTTAATTAGAACAAAAAAATATTTTTAAATAATTGCACTTGCAGTTTTTGAAGTTTTTTCGACGTGCAATTTTTTTTTTTATTTTTTTGTAATGATTTTTTCAATAAAAAAAAATTATACAAATTTTTAAATGTCGGCTAACTTAATTTTCATGACATTTATTAATTTTTGATTTTTTTAATAATTAAAAAATTAGATAAAAAAAATATTTAAAAAAAATTGCACTTGCAGTTTTTAAAGTTTTTTACAAATGTAATTTTTTTTCTTTTTTTTTTGTAGTCATATTTTCAATGAAAAAAAAATTGAAAAATTTTTATATGTCGGCTAACTTAATTTTCATTAAAAATTTTTTTAATAAATCAATTACAATAAAAAAATACTTTTAAAAATTTTCACTTGTAATTTTTATTAATTTTCACATTTAGAACCTTTTTAATTGAATTTTTTTTTTATAATAATTTAATTATGAAAATCTAAAAAATTCCAAGTGTTGTAAGTTGTAAGTTTGAAGGAAATAATTAATGACAATATATTATTAACAAAGATTTTATTATTTTTGTATAAATATATTTTTATAATTATAATATATGTCAGATTTTAATAAATAAATTTGTAAGTTAACAATAATTAAAATTCTTCATATAAGTGTAATAAAAAAAATAATATAGTAATAATAAATAAATACAATGATTGAGAAATATAATTAATATTTCGTGATAAAAGTGTTGTAAAAAAGAAATAAAAAAAATAATAATGCTAATGTTAGTCGATAACCTGTCAAACCACCGTTATAGTCAATGAAACTGAAATAAAAACATCTGATTGAATTTTTTTTCGTAAAAAAAATTCAGATGTTAATTTTCGGAGTTAATATATTTACATACTAATATATATATTTAAATTTAAGAATCGCGTTCTCCATTTCGGTAATAATTAACTAAAACCTGCCAAGCTTTTGGAGCCATAAAACCATCTGGAGGATTTTGTCCTGTTCTTGCTAAACCTAGAAATTATTATTATTATTTATTTATTAATGACAGTAAAAATAATTACTGGTATAATACCTCTCATCCTGGTCCCAGAGATAAAATCAAAGTCTTCCTTTCTCTCGAGTTCAAAAAACGCCATTTTTTTATTTTTAACATCATAAGCAGCAACTTTAAACGGAATGATTTCAAGATTTCCAAGGCCCCGTGCCATAGTTAGGACTCTGGCGCCATGAGTAGGGTCGTAGAGATTCCCATCGGGTGTGGCGTTCTTATCCGGGTGAGGAATTCCCGCTGGGTCTCTTCCGACAATATAAAAATTCGCTCCAGCATTCATTCGAGCTTTAGCGTGCCACTGGACCTGAAAATAAAATTTATTTAATCTATATAATTAAGAAATAACCTTGTATCTTGTGAACAATTGACATTTTTAAAGATATAAGCTCATCCTGACATTACACTCATCGAGACCTTTCATTTGAGTACCCACATCAATTTTTCATATATTTTATATATTTATATATATCATATATATTTATATATGAAAAATATATGAAAAATGCATGTGGGTACTCAAATGAAAGCTCTCAATGAGTATAACATCAGGGTGAGCTTATATCTTCCAAATATATGTTATATATATATATATATATATATATATATATATATATATGTATATATGACAAATATATGAAAAATGCATGTGGGTATTCAAATGAAAGCTCTTGACAAGTCTAACATCAGGATGAGCTTATATCTTAAAAAACTTAAATATTTAAGAAAGTAGAGTGCATTTTAACAAAATTCATTATTTAATAAATCAAAATTTGATTTACTTCTAATAAAAATAAATTTCCTACCTCAACAGGCCCAGCATAAGTCATAGGACTGGGAAAGATAGCCAGTAGTGTAGACTCTTCCTCCAAGACCTTGTCTTCCAGAACAGCTTTGTGCTGCAAGATTCTAGTAGCCAGAGGAACATCATCATCCTTAGTCCAGCCTCCAAGAGGATGCAGAAGAAGAATAGGGTTTTTGAACCCGCGGTCTAGTAGCTTCTTTCTGGTGTCCTGCATGAGCATCGCGTGGCCATTGTGTATAGGGTTCCTCAGCTGGAACGCGAAGACTGCGTCGGCATTCATCTCCCGCAGACGAGCTCGGATCTCATTGGGGGTTAGCCGGTACTCATCTAAGCCATCGTTCCACCTGATGCGCTCCAGGACCTCAATATTGCCGCCCAGCAGCCAGTTCCCGCCCTCCAAAATTAGCTTGACGTAGGGATGACGAGGGTCCGTCGTTCCAAACTGCCTCGCGCATCTTTCTTCCTTCCGGTGGGACCAAACCTCCGGTTTTCTTAAAATTGCCACCGCCTGGCCCTGGAATTTTAGAGCCACTGCCGAGTGACCTTCTATCTTTAGCTTGTCCTGGTCTGTTATCGCTAGCACTATTGGAATTGACTGGTTCACTTCTTGGTCGAGGTTTGGGTCTACAAGGAACCTGAAAGATTTTAGAAAATTTTTATTTTAATTATATTGTAAGCTATTAGTTAATTATATTATTTTTATTTTAATTTTATTGTAATTATATTGCTATCAGGTCACCCGGCTTCGCACGAGCAGTTAATAAAAATTTTTAAATTAATTATAGCCTAGATGTAATATAATCTATGTCATCCGGAGATAGTGTAGCTTTCCAAAGGAGAAAAAATTTTTTTAATAAGTTCAGTAGATTTGGAGCATATTAAAATAATATGAATTTTTCGCAATTTTAATATTTTTTTCGGGTCTATTTTTTCCGATTACCAAATTTTGTTGTGAAATAGGCCGTAGATATTTCAAAGTATCTAAATGTAATTAAAAAAAATTAGTTCCAAAAATCACCGCTAGGCGGAAAAGTGGCGCTGTTCTTTCTCGCTTACAGAAATAAATTTCCAGAATTTATAATACCATTTTCGAGCAATTTTCTTTTTAATTACTAGCTATAGAATTTTTTAAAACAATTTATTGATTAAAAATATTTTAAAATATTAACAAACCTGAAATGTTGTGTCTGAAGATACTGATCCTCCCTCATGAAGCCTGTAAGAGGACTGGCCCAGCCCTCGGCAAGAACTTGAAGCCACTGAAGGTCAACCTGACCTATCTCAACATCCACAAGAGACTTAGCCTCCTGCTTAGCCTTGTGAACCCTCTCCAAAGGAACAAACAGCTCCTGGACGACCTGCTCCTTCTGTCTAGGAATAATAAATTCCCTCTCAAGCAGGTCAATGATCTTAGCCGCAGATTCTTCGACCGAGCAGCCGACAGTAGTGACCACCAGCTCGGGCTTGCTCGGCCTCTCATACTCCTGGTCAATTCCGGTGAACCCCTTGATAGTTCCCAGCCTGGCTTTTTTATACAAGCCCTTGGTGTCCCTGGCCTCGCAGATGTTCAACGGAGTGTCGACGAACACTTCGAAGAACGGAATGTCAAAGTCCTTGTGAATCCTCCTGGCCATCTGGCGGTCGGCCTCGAACGGAGAGACAAAACTACAGAGACAAATCTGACCGCTGTCCGCGAAGAGCTTTGAGACTTCCGCAACTCTACGGATGTTCTCCTTGCGGTCCTCCGGGCTGAAGCCCAGGTTGCAGTTCAGTCCGGTGCGAACATTGTCTCCGTCCAGGCCGTAAGCCGCTAGGCCTCGCTCCACCAAGATGGCTTCCACCTAAAATAATAATCAAGTAAGTCAACATTAAGAAAAAATTTATTTTTCATTATATTACAAGTTAGAAAATTTTATCTTTATTTTTATGACACTGAAGTTACACGGAAAGAACAAGATTATACTGGATATAATCCCAGATTATACTGAGTGAAAAAAAATTTTCAGATAGTAGCTAGTATAATCCAGATAACAATGAGTATAATCCAGATAACAATGAGTATAATCCAGATTACAATGAGTATAATCCAGATATTATTCAGTATAATCTGGATTATACTAGCTACCATCTGAAATTTTTTTTTTCTCCTCAGATGTCACTGAGTATAATCTGAGATAGTATCCAGTGTCATCTTGTTCTTTCCGTGTAGCAGACGTCTAAAAATTTTTGATTTTTTTTTTTTTTAATTGTTTAATTGAAATTTTTCCGATAAAAAATTTCTAAAAATTTTGAAATGTCAGCTAACTTCATTTTCATTTATTTTTTTTTAATAAAAAAAATTTTTAAATCAGCTGATTTAATTTTTTTTAATTTACTTGGAACGCTATTGAAGTCTTGCCTGCTCCTGACAGCCCGGTTAACCACACAGTGCACCCCCGGAAGCCTAAAACTGTTCCTAGCTTCTGGCCGCGCTTCGCCCTTGATACGTGGTGCGCTTGAACTGAGACATTTGTGCAAGTCTATAAAGGTAATTAATATTTTTAATAATTAAACATAAATTAAAAAAATTTTTTTTGCAATAAATTATTTGTTAAAAAAATTCATAAAAATTTAGCGGCAAAATTTAAAAAATGACATTCGATAAATAATTAACAATTTTAATTGTACTTACAGTCATCATCCGCTTGCTTGGACCTGGGTCGGTGGTCATCTTCGGTAAGTGGTGAATATTTCAAGTGTCCAGTTGGTAGTCTAATAGATATTTGCTTATAGTTAAGCCATTAGTTGGAAGTGAACATAGTTAACGTGGCACAGTGTCAGAAAAAGAAAACTAGTTTGTTCTTTGTTCAAATTGTTGTGTGTTGTCATCGTGCGGTGGATTTTATTTAGGCCACCAGGTCGGACAGGTCGGAGGGGCAACTTGTGAGCTGTCTAGTTTTTCGAAGGACTGATTTCAGCGCCTCTTGCGGCGAAGAAATAAACTAAGTTATAAACCAACGGCTGCTCAGTAAGTATGACAGATTTTTTTATCAAAAATTATTTTTAATAAATTATATTAATTGATTAATTAAATAATTTTTTTTGTATTTAGAATTTTTTTTTAATTATTTTTTAAAATCAGCTGTTTTGAAAATTTTTTTTTTGTTAATTAAATTATAATTCAAAAAAATATTTAAAAAATTTACACATGTAATTTTATTAAATTAGGTAATGATAAATATTTATAAATTATAAAAATATACCTTTAATAATTTATTTTATTTTTACAGAACATGAAATTAAATTTTGAAAATTATAACAGCTGTTTTAATTTTTTTTAACTTAAATGTCATTATAAAAAAAAAATTAATAGAATTTTTGACATGTCAAAAATAAAAATTATTATTATATTGTTATAAAAATTTTAAAATTGACAGGTGTCAGCTGATTTTTCAGTGTCATATTTTTATTAAAAAAAAAAAAATAAAAAAAAATAACACGTGGTCTTCTCAATTGATTTTTGTGACGATTTATATATATAGAGACGTAACCATAGCAACTGTGAGTATGACATAAAATAATTTTGTAATAATTGATTAAAAAAATTACAAATATTAAATTTTTTTTTTAAGGTATTTTTATTTATTTATTTAATGAATAATAATAATAAAATAAAAAATTGTAAATTTTTGTGTTTTAGAGTTACAATTGGATCTCTGTAGTGCTTAATTTATTTATCTATAGCTCAAGGTGAAGCAAAACGGGCAACTGGCCAATGCCAACAATTTAGATCTAAGATCTAGTCAGTCAACAGTGTTTTAACAATCTTGGATCTTGAATCTCAGTTCTGTGAGAGTTGAGTTGAGTTGTTCTTTAGATAAGTATTATTAATATTAATATAAAAGTTTGATGACAATGAAGACCATCTGGGTAATTGGAGGACCTGGCTGTGGAAAAGGAACTCAATGCAGCAAAATTATTGACAAATTTGGACTACTGCATCTCAGCAGCGGGGATTTGTTACGAGAAGAAGTTGCCAGTGGAAGTCCTCGAGGAGCGTCACTACAGGAATTAATGTCTAAAGGACTTTTTGTGCCTACGGTGAGTTAATTTTTTTTTTTATTAGTAATTTTATAATAATTTTGGGTTAAAGTAGATTTAATTATCAAGTTTATTGTTTTAGGATGTAGTGCTGTCATTGATTAAAGAGCGGATGGATAAAGCGAGGGGAGATGGAAATATTAAGGGATTTCTTATTGATGGATATCCTAGGGAATTGGAACAGGGGATACAGTTTGAAAAAGATGTGAGTATTATTATTATTATTATTATTATTATTGAGATTTTTAAAGATATAAGCTCATCCCGATGTTATACCCATCGAGACCTTTCATTTGAGTACCCACATCAATTTTTCATATATTTCATATATTTATATATATTACATATATGTATATATGTAATATATATAAAAAATACATGTGGGTACTCAAATGAAAGCTCTTGATGAGTGTAACATTGAGATAAGCTTATATCTTTAAAAAAGTCAGTAATTAAGAAATGACCTCGTATTTTATGAACTATTGACATTTTTGAAGATATAAGCTCATCCTGAGATTACACTCATTGAGACCTTTCATTTGAATACCCACATGAATTTTTGATATATTTTTCATATATACATATATATGATATATATAAATATATAAAATATATCAAAAATGAATGTGGGTATTCAAATGAAAGCTGTTGATGAGTGTAACATCGAGATGAGCTTATATCTTTAAAAATGTCAGTAATTAAAAAATGACCTTGTATTTTATGAACTATTGACATTTTTGAAGATGTAAGCTCATCCTGACATTACACTCATTGAGACCTTTCATTTGAGTACCCACATCAATTTTTCATATATTTCATATATTTATATATATATATTATATATATATGTATATATGAAAAATATATCAAAAATGCATGTGGGTACTCAAATGAAAGCTCTTGATGAGTGTAACATCAGGATGTGCTTATATCTTTAAAAATGTCAATATTTAAGAAAGTACGGTACAGTTTAATAAAATTTTGACTAAAAATTTATTATTATCATAAAGGTTTGTCCAGTAGACCTAATATTATTTTTTGATGTAAAAAATGAAACAATGAAAACAAGATTACTGGGACGAGCTGCTGTTTCCGGTCGAGCTGATGACAACGAGGAAACAATTGTCAAGAGGATAGAAATATTCAATGAAAAAAATAGTAAAATTGTTGAGCATTATAAAGACAAAGTTGTCAAGGTAAAATTATTATTATTGTATATTTTTAAAATTTATTCTTTGACTTTACAAAAATCTTAAATTAAATATAATTTATTTTTAGATTACCGCTGAAGGTGCAGTGGAGAGTATTTTTGACGAGGCCTCAAAAGCCCTCGAGCCTTTATTCTCATAAAAATAATTAAATTATCATTATTAATAAAATAACAAAAATGGACCTGAAAAATAAAAAAAACCTTGGTACGGATAAGTAGGATTAATTACAACACACGCTTATTATGTTAATCAAATTTAAGGCCGACTAATTGCCATTATTAGATAATTGCACAAATATTTCCTGTTATTAAAAAAAAAAAAAGAAAAAAAAAAAATATATATCAATGTTGAGATTTAAAAAATAACTCAGTATTTTTTAAAACTAAAAATGTTACATCGAATTAAATTAAATATTTATTTATTTTACTTACTATTAATATTAATATTAATTGTAGAAGCTAATAAATGCTTTACAGTAAATAACAACGATCTAGTACCTCAGTATGAATTAATAAAAAATTCACGGTCAATTAAAAGTGTAATTGTTGAAAAAAAATTGTCATTGATAGAATGCCAAAAATTAGCAATAACGCGCAAAGCATTAGCCTTTAATTTCTACAAAAAGAATAATAAAAAATTAAACTGTCAATTACTAGAATGTCCTGAAATAAATTCATTTAGTTCACTTATACGTGATAATAAATTTAATTATTATAGTTTGTACCCACGATATTTATATCCTGGTAATTATTAATATAATTTATTTAAATTTATACATTTTTTAATTAAATTTATGAATTTTTTAATTAAAAAAATTATTTTAATTAAATTTATAAATTTTTTGTAATTAAAAAAATTTTTTTTTCTAATTTTATTTAAAAAAAAAAAAATTTATTTTGTTAATTTTTAAATTGTAAGATTTTTTTTATAAAATAATTTGTTTTTTTTTTTTTTTTAATTATGTAAGTGAATATAACAGTAAAGTGTTTGCCGAGAGTAGGCGTATTTATTATCTCAGAAGAATCTAAAAATTACACAGACGCTAAGAAAACATGCGAGGAAGTAAACGGAAAATTGGCACATATTATCAGCGAAGAAAGAACTGAAGGACTTGCTAAATTTATCACCCATAATACCCCGGTATTTGTGGGACTGAGTAATCGTCGGAGCAGTAAGGATCGTTTTTGGAAAAATGAATTTGGTGAGTAATAAAAATATATAATTATCAGAATATTAATAATTATTTTGATATTATTTGAATAGATGAGCCATTAGACTGCTTCGATTATCGCGGGTGGAACAAAGGAGAGCCTTCTGCTTCAAGAGGATGTGTGGGTTTAATTGTTACCAAATCGGTGATAAGCGATAAAACACCTGCGTGGCGAGTGTTACCTTGCTCTCAATCTTTGCCGTTTATTTGTGAAATACTGTTAAGAGTCAAGATTAGTAAAAAAGATTTATTATTTCAATGATTTTTTGTTAAATTGGACTATACTTTCTTAACTATAGACATTTTTAAAGATATAAGCTCATCCTGATGTTACACTCATCAAGACCTTTCATTTGAGTACCCACATCAATTTTTCATATATTTTATATATTTATATATATTATATATATATGTATATATAAAAAATATATCAAAAATTCATGTGGGTACTCAAATGAAAGCTCTTGATGAGTGTAACATCGGGATGAGCTTATATCTTTAAAAATGTCAATAGTTCACAAGATAAAAGGTGATTTCTTAAATATGTAATATATATACGATATAAGCTCATCCTGACGTTACACTCATTAAGACCTTTCATTTGAGTACCCACATCAATTTTTCATATATTTTATATATTTATATATATTATATATATATGTATATATGAAAAATATATCAAAAATTCATGTAGGTACTCAAATGAAAGCTCTTGATGAGTGTAACATCGGGATGAGCTTATATCTTTAAAAATGTCAATAGTTCACAAGATACTAGGTCATTTCTTAATTATTTAATAATAATAATTATAAATTCCAAGATAAATAAATTTTATTACACTGAAATATTTACACTGTGGTAAAATTTTACATTTTATTTCAATAAAATAAAATAATATATATATTTATTTATTTATATAGATTCAGCAATGATCATAAAGAATATATTATTATTGTTATCGTCATATGTACATAGTAGTTATCAGTTATTATCATTAATAGCAATTAATCATATTTTATTTAAATTCAATATTAAGTACGCGATAATAATCGATATAATATTCATTTTAAATAGCAATTGGAATTATTTTTATCGTGCAAAATATTTAAATTATAATCATCATTATCTCTTTTTTTAATTATTATTATTTTAAGATAAATCCGAGCCAGCGAGTTTTATTATATAAAAATACAAAAGATGAAATTATCACGGGTTTAAAAATTTTAAGGAATGTGTGTTTTTTTGTTTACTTTTACAATTATTTAATTAATTAATTAATTTACTAAAATTAAAATTGTAATTAAATGCACAAAGAAAATTGAAATAATTACTGGGCGTGGTTTTTTTTAGCACCAATAATAATTATTAAATGCTAATCAAGTCTTGAAGTTATAAAAAAAAAAACAAAATTGTATTGGCACTGTTAAAAAAATTAGTTATTTTTTTTTTTAATAAGAAAGAACAATATAATTAATAAAAACAGAATAATTGGACGGAGTAAAAAATTTAAAATAAAAATCTTCAAGATACTTTTAAAAAATCCTAAAAAAAAATAAAATAGTTGCCAACTCGTTTTACATAACCAACAAAATTAAACTCAACTAACCTACAAATGATTTATGTATAATTATATCAATATTAAATCCACTAATAAATATATCGTAATAAAATTCGATTTTAATATGTTTCACGTATCGACAGTCTGGGATAATAATAAATTGCTAAAAAAAATATTATAATTATTGGTAAAATATTCAAATATCCGCTCCGATATAAAATTATACGGAGTTCCTTTCAAGTGAAGTTCTCGGAACCGCCGCCTGGCGCTAGTTGTATGTTTTCGGCGCGAATACAGTAGAATTATTAATTATATTATTTAAATACTTATCAAATGCTACCTACTTTTTTCTAAAAATAATAATAATAATTAAATGAAGATTTATTATTATTATTATAATTATAATTAAGATTTATTGCCAGGTAAATTTGTCAACAGAGGGCCCACTTGCTCGGACAATTGAACCACCATTCGTTGTAATACTGTTTGTCTTTCTTCGAGTGTCGCAATCTAAATAAAAATTATTAATTATATTTATTATAAATAATTAACAATTAATTATAATTACCCGTTCAAGTAACTGGCTGTAAAGGCGGTAAGGAACGTAAGCTGGAGTTCCAGAGATAGGAGAAACTGGACCAGCGAGGTGAGAATTGCTGCGTTGGTACCCGGAACTGGTGTCTTTGTTCTGGAGGCGCTGAAGTTCCTGGAACCCTGGTTCTTGGAACTGTTCCGTTGCTTCGGAATTTTGAACCGGTGAGTGGTTTTCGTGTAAGTGGTTCTTTTCTTTTTTTACTTCGGCTTTGTCCGGCTTGTCTGTTGATAGGATTTTTTTCTGGTTGAATTTCAATTCCTCTATCTGTAATTTTTAGAATAATTTTTTTAATTAAAATTGTTTTTATTTTTTATTATAAAGATGTTGAGGTAAAGTTTGAGTTACCCATGGTGGAACAGGCTGGCGATTTTTTCCGGAACCTGTTTCAGGGTCATCGTTTCTGGATTGGTCTACTGTGTCAATTGCACCGTTTGTGATAGAATTTTCCTGTTATTGTAATTAAGTATTTTAATAAAAATAATAATGATAATTTCGAACATATAAGCTCATCCTGATGTTACACACATCAAGAGCTTTCATTTAAGTACCCACATGCATTTTTGATATATTTTTCATATATACATATATATAAATATATGAAATATATGAAAAATTGATGTGGGTACTTAAATTAAAGGTCTCGATGAGTATAACATCAGAATGAGCTTATATTTTTAAAAATGTCAATATTTCACAAGATAAAAGATAATTTTTTAAATATGTAATATATATAAGATATAAGCTCATCCTGAGATTACACTCATCAAGAGCTTTCATTAGAGTACCCACATGCATTTCTGATATATTTTTCATATATACATATATATAATATATATAAATATATGAAATATATAAAAAATTGATGTGGGTACTTAAATTAAAGGTCTCGATGAGTGTAACATCAGGATGAGCTTATATCTTTAAAAATGTCAATATTTCACAAGATACAAGGTAATTTCTTCATTATGCATCCTGAAGCAAAATTTTTCTTATTCTCTCATTAATATAAATAATAATAATAATTACAGTGCTAGTCTGACGATGATGACTAGAAGGCAATCGCCTTCTAGGAGCTTTAACTCTCGAAGCAGTAAGATGAAGCAATGGAGTATCCTCTTCCCTCTCAACTCCATCAAGTTCCTCATCAATCCCCTCATTATGATCCCCAGAGTCGACCTGAGAAGGACTGACATCCTCACACTTGGTAAGCCGCTTGATCCCCGGAGAGATTGGCGAGGAACTGGCTTTCTTCTCCGGCAAAGTCGAGGAAGAACTCGAGGAAGATCCTAGCACCGGAGATATGGGACTGACACTTTTCCGGTCGGCGTTCGCCGTCCGGGTGTCCAGGCTTTTCCTGGCGTAAGCTTTCTCTCCTTTCTTTCCAGTATTCCATAGTTTTGAGCTAGTACTGGTGCTAGTGCTAGTACTGGTGTTGGTACTCTTCAATCCGCGGTTCAGTTCCAATGGTCTTACTTTGTTAACTTCTTCTTGGTGAGGTGATTTTTTTCCTTGGATTATTTTAACGAAGTTGTCAGGGAATAAACCTATTTTTCCACGTAATTCACCTTTCCACCATCCCTGAAATTAAAGAATAATAATTATTATTATTTAATTATTTTTATAAGTTAATTTTTTTAAAATTATTACTAAAAAAAATTTTTAATTAATTTTTAACATTAATTATGGGCTCAAAAATTGAACAAATTAATTTTTATTAATAGTTTAGGGATCAAACATTAAAAAATTAATTTTTAACAATAATTATGGACTCAAAAATTTTAAAAATGACTTTTCAACATTAATAATGGGCTCAAACATTAAAAAATTAATTTTTAAAATTAATTGTGGGATCAAACATTAAAATATTAAATTTTAACATTAATCGTGGGCTCAAAAATTTAAAGAATTAATTTTTAACATTAATTATCGGCTCAAAAATAAAAAAAATAAAATTTAAACCTCAATTATGGGCTCAAATGTTAAAAAGTTAATTATTTACTAAAGTTTGAGGCTCAAAAATTGAAAAAAATTAATTTTTAAGATTAATTATGGGATTAAATAATAAAAATTAATTTTTAAAATTAAATATGGGCTCAAACATTAAAAAAATTGATTTTTAACATTAATTATGGGCTCAACTTCTAAAAAATTAATTCTTTACTAAAATTTTGGGCTCAAAAATTAAATAAATTAATTTTTAGTATTAATTTAGGGATCAAACATTAAAAAAATTAATTTCTAACATTAATTATGCGCTCAAGCATTATAATTAATTTTTTACTTCAATTTTAGGCTCAAAATAAAAAAAAATTAATTTTTAGCATTAATTATAGACTTAGAAAAAATTCTCTAAAAAAAATGCTAAAATAAAATAAAAAACAAACCTTATCAGGTGCATCCCTGGAGATCAAAGTAACAATTTCGCCTTCAGCAAGTGTCAGTTCATCCTCATTAGCAGCTTTATAAGAAAACAGCACCAGACACATCTCCTTGGTGTCCTCAGCAGGAGCCGGAGCAGATACAAAATTAGAAGGAAAAACACCGACTCGTCCTCTGAGCCGCCCAGTCCACCAGCCCTCTTCGACCTGTCCCAAATATTCGACCATGTCATTTGGAGCCAAGGCTAGTTCATCTTCATTGCACGGGTCGTAACTAAACAGCACTTTGCACCACTTACTCGTTGAACTATTCCCACTATTATTATTACTATTGTTATTAGCACTATTATTACTATTATTACTATTTCCACAAGACCCGTTTCGGAGTGTCGCTGATTCTTTCTTAACCTCAAGACTAACTTCACTTTTCACTCCACCGGTTGGCTCCAACACCTGCACAAGTCATCGATAATTAATAATTAAAAATAAATTTTTTTTTTTTTTTAATTCATAAAACTCACCTTGACAAAGTTATCAGGAAACATTCCGCGCTTATCTCTGAGTGTGCCTTCCCACCAGCCTTCAGACATTATTTTGACATCTTTAATAATGTCTCCTTTTCTTATTGTCAGTTCATCGGGTTCCTGTGCGACATAATTAAACTCAACTAGGGCTTCCATTATTTATTGATTCCTGTATCCTTACAACCCACTCGAGTACTGTACACTTGATTCACCATCAAACCTATATAAAAAAAAATTATTAATGGATTATTATTAGGTTACCTTCACTCTTGGGATGAAAAAAGGTAGAATCAATACTTAAGTTTATTATTATTTTAATTATATTATAATAATTAAAACTATATTATTTTTTAATTTTTTATAAAAATTAAATAATGATTTTTGTTTAATTGCACTGTACTTTCTTAAATGTTGACGTTTTTTAAGATATAAGCTCATCCTGATGTTACACACATCAAGAGCTTTCATTTGAGTACCCACATGTATTTTTGATATATTTTTCATATATACATATATGTAATATATATATAAATATATAAAATATATGAAAAATTGATGTAGGTACTCAAATGAAAGGTCTTGATGAGTGTAACATCAGGATGAGCTTATATCCTTAAAATTGTCAATATTCCATAAGATACAAGGTCATTTCTTATAAGTATGTAATATATATAATTTATATTTTAAAGATATAAGCTCATCCTGATGTTGCACTCATCAAGAGCTTTCATTTGAGTACCCACATGTTTTTTTTGATATATTTTTCATATATACATATATATAATAATATATAAAATATATGAAAAACTGATGTGGGTACTCAAATGAAAGGTCTCGATGAGTATAACATCGAAATGAGTTTATATCTTAAAAAATGTCAATAATTAAGAAATGACCTTATATCTTGTGAA